TTAAAAATTATTTAAACACACTTCAACTTGAGCAAAAACAGTATTTAGCTTTTCATTTGTCGATGTCTAAGAAAAAAGAGATGTTTCTACTATATTTGTTAGTTATGAATTATAGTTAGTAAAAGAATAAACATTATGAATCATACATTAAATTTTCATAATAAAATTTATACCATTGACTCTATATTTGATGAAATTCCCATTGCTAGGAAATTCCACATTTGTTATATCTCATAAGCACGGACATTTATTTGCTTTCACCTCTAGTGGATTCTCTCTTGATGATGATACATAGAGAAACATATATAGAATGACCCCACTTGTATATAATAGAAATATGATGAAGTTACAAAAAGAGCAGACATAGCAAGAATGAAGGGAAAGGGGATTTTAACAAACATTTATTTGATTTAAAAAGGGAGAGGAAGGGAACTAATAATAAATTAATAATTTTACTCTTATCAATTTTAAGTTAATTTTTATTTTTTGCTTTGATTTATTATTAAAAATAGATATATTATATTTTTGTAACTTTATTGTTTTAAGGATATAAACTTATATTAATAACATTTTTACAGAAAAAATACATTAATATTATATTTTATCAGTTTATCAGATGAAAAAAATATTAAAATTTTAGTAAAAATTTATATATTAATTTTTATAAAGTGATAAAATTTATTTAATTATAAGGGAGAGGAACAAAGATAAGGCATAATTTTTTAATATCAAGCATATTTTAGAATTTTTAAAATAATAAATAAGTAATTTAGTTATAATTTTATCTCTTCTCTCCCTTAAAAAAAAACTCCAAATTGGAAGGGAGGGTTAGGAGGACTTTTCCTTCAACTATTTAACTAAATAAGGTGCTCCCCTCCCTTTCATTCATGAAATACCAACCAAACAAGGGAAGGAGAGCAACTCTCTTCCCCTCCACTCTAAAAACTTTGAATCAAATACACCCTTAGGTCATGTTTGGTATATTAGAATTGGGTTTAAGAGAAATGAAATTGGAATTGGAATCATGCTTTCAATTGTTTGGTGTGCATGAATCCAATTTCTTATGGATTCTAATTCTACCAAAATACTTAGAATTCAATTCCATTTTCATCATGATGGAATTGCTACAATTCCATGGAATTGTCATAAGTGTCCCACAAACATACTCCATCATGATGGCTGAGTTTTTTTATGTTTTTTTATAAGGACATTTTGGTCTTTATCTATTTTAAATACATATATTTATTAATATTATATTCAGATTCCATCTTCATACCAAACATACATTTATAACTCAATTCAATTCCGATTCCAATTCCGATTCTGATTCCGATTTCATCAAAAACTCTTCCATCATACCAAACGAGGCCTTAGTGATCCTCTGTTAAGGGTGAAGGTCGAGAATGAGAAAGAAGAGAAAGGAGAAGAAATATGCACTCCCTCCATCCCAAATTACAAAACACTTTTAGGAGAGATTTGATATTTTAAAATATAAGATACTTTGATAAAATTAAAATTCATTAAATAAACTTATTTCAATATTATCATTTTTCTCTCTATAATTAATTTTCGTCCTTTCTCTTTTTAATATATTAAATGATGGGTAATTTTGAAAGTTTATATTTTTGTTTTAGAAAAATAAGATTGTTAAGTATATTTAATAAGATTTATTGGTATGTAAAATTTTATCTAAAAATATTTTATAATTAGGACGAATGGAGTATAATAAATGAATATTTCCAGATTTCTTAAAAAAAAAAAAAAGTTACCACATGGTTGGTTTTTTGGATAGAGAAGAGATCATCCATTCATGTTCAAACCTATCATGCTATAAGCGATGAAAGAATTGGAAACCCTAACCTCTGAGGAAGAAAGGTACAAAACCTTCACAAATTGTGGGTAGAAAAGGCTGACCTTATCTTAGACATCATCAAATTATGGATACATCATGTCGCTTATACAATTGCCCATTTTTCACCCACGTCTGTTATAAATAAGAAATTTAAAATAAAAAAAATTAAACAAATTACATTACAGTATTCATGATTAATATGTGGACAGATTTTTGAGGTGGGAAGTTATGATGCTTAAACTTTTTATAAATTTTAAAATTAAAATTTAAAATTATGAATAAAAAGTTTGGAAGTTATGATACTCTCTTTATTAAAAAATATAAGATATTTTTAACCGAATATCATCCCTAATAAGGCAATTATCTACTTTTAAACTAACCCTATCTTTTCATATTTACCCCTATTAAATATCCTACAATAAATATAAAATCATTGATCAATAGGGGCATTTTTTAAAAATAAAAGGCAATGATTACATCTCAATAGACTAAAAATACCTTACATTTTTTAACATCCAACTCTTTAAAAAATGTCTTATATTTTTTAATGGAGGGAGTAATATTTAAACTGGAGATAAAATTGATAGTGAGATAATATTGAGATTTGTGGGGTTTTGGAAGATATGATGCATGGACTTTTTTTTAATTAATTGATTTTTAAAATTGAAATTTGAAATTAAAAATTAAAAATTAAAAGTCGGGAAGTTACAATAGCTATTTGAAATTAAAATCTCAACTTTAGTTTGATAGTTAAGAAGTTACAATTTAAAATGCATTAAAAATTTAAAATTTACTCGGATATTATAAAATAAAATATTGGCAGCAGAAATTTAAATGTGAATGCTTTATTTAAACTTTTGAAATGAAAATAAAATTTAAATCTAAATTATATAAGCATAAAATCCTTAATTGGAAGAATGATGAAATAAACAAACAAAAAATCATCCGAATGGAAAAATTTTCAAACCCAATGTTTAAAAAATAAAACCTAAAGTATAATTTTAATCTTCTAACTTTATATAAAATTTTAATTTTATCTCTTAATTTTATAAAATATCTTTTTAGTCCTTTAACCCTAACACCATTAGTTTAAAATGATTATTTTTTGTACCAATCATTGTTATTTAGAAAAAATTAAACTTAATATGTCAATATTTAATAATATTTTTTTAATATTTAAAATTTTAATATAAAAATTTATTAGGATAAAACTAACGATATAAAAGTTAAAGAACTAAAAAAATATTTTATAAAATTAAGAGATTAAAATAAAACGTTGTGTAAAATTATAAGACTAAATATATACTTTAGTCAAAAATAAAATATCACGGTAGATCATGGAAAGAGAATTATGATATTAAATAATATAATTGTAGAAAAAATATATATGTAGGTTCTTACATTTTTATTCAATCTTAAATTATCTTTTTATAATTTATTTTTTTAATTGAGTCTTTATAGTTTGACCAATTAAAATTTTTAATTTCTAAAGATTAAAATCCTTAAATATTTTTATACATGAATAATTTTCATAAAATTAATAAAAATGTAAACATTATATTAAATCAAATTTTTTTCTTTTTGATTTTGGCTAAAAGTATTAAATTAAATTTTTTATAAACTCCAAAGGTATTTTTGTTTTATAAAATTTAATAATTGATCATTGATTTTAACTTTTAGGGGGTTAACATATACAATAGATCAAAATTATAAGGGTTTGATTAAAATAAAACAAATAACATGGACCTAATTTAAAATTGAGTGAAATAGTAAGAACCTACAGATATATTTTTCTAATAATTGTATATGACATTTTATTCACTATTAATATTAAACAAAGTAGATATTCATGATGGAAATTTTGTTAACATGATTATTTTCACACTCCAAAAAATATTGGAAAATATTTTTTATAGTTATTAACTCCAGTATAAACTAGGAAAAAGAGATAATGAAGATATACCAAATTGAAGTATTATTTTTTTTTTATATCCTTGAGGATTTTATGAATCTTTATGCTTTGTAAGTATATTTCTTTCTGGTTATTAATTTTAATGGATGCTTTAACACTTAATATGATTTATTTTGTTCTCATTCAATTGGATGACCAACTTTAGTATATGCGTGGATCTTGGAATTTGCCTTTAACAAAAAGAAATCTCAATTCAACTATTTATTAAGCAACCTAAGATTAGAATTAATCTAATTTATGCTTGAGATAGAAATATACTCAATAACTTTAATATACTCAATTTTAAAGTTAAATCAAAAAGTAATAACTAGAAGATATTATTAAATTGTAAAGTATAAAAAGATATTAGAACTTCCAGGATGTTCTTTACTTGCTAATCTTACGTCAAGCATATTCTTTGACCTTATTTTATCTGTATTTATTTTTAATTTAATAAAAATTTTACTTTTTGATTAGTTAACTTAACTGAGACAAAAATAAATTCAGTTGCGTCGAATTCTGTTATTTTAGTTTTTCGTGGGACAACCTTGATTCGCTTTACCATGTTTAATCCATATACTTGCAATGTGTTTAAATTTTGTAAGCATCAGTACATTAAAATACTTTTAACAAGTAAATACCTTTTCTCTTTGAATTAAAACTACTAATAATTTTACCAACAAATGTTGATCATAGTAAAAATAACTATAACCACTCAAGCATAAAATCTCAAATTCAAGTTCATATGAATATAGAAAAACATTTTTAGAAGTGCTATTGCGATAAGAGTATTAGCATTTAAATCTAACCCAACTAAATAACTATATTACAAAAATACCAATAACTTAAAAATATTTAATTAATAATTGTAGCTTCTTAAGAATATGCTGAAGTTGTGTTTTAATGGGAAAATTAAAACTATTAATGATTAAAATTTAGGACAATTTACTATTTACCATTAAATATTCTCAAATTTTATTAATAAAGTACTAAGATAGGATGAGAATGAATAATTTTGACCAGCATTTAGTTTCGACATAGGAGAGATACTATATTGGCCAAAACAAGAGGAGATGCTACTAAGCAGTAGAAGATGACGAAGGGCAAGTACAAAGATAAACTAACCAAGAAAATGTACTTTGCTCCTCTTACATCACTTTTGCTTCAAAATCTGCTTGAATCACTTTTTTCTCATACTATCTTCCAAATATTTTCCAGATGAATTTTATTACTTTATACAACAAGGAAAAAAAAATCTCAAAATCTTTAACAACGATAAACCTATATCGTACTGAAACATGGATATCTAAGAAATAAGATAATAAAATCACATCGAACAGGATTACAGATTGATACAGGCAGAGAATAACAAGAACGAGCCTAGAAGACTGCTTAGATAGCTACGATTGGCAATAAAAACATTCAGAATTGTTTTAGATTCAACATCTGGCTTCCTTGCGCACCAAAAAGAATTCAAGCATATCAGCGCCTAAATGCATTGCCATCACCTGCTTCAGATCTCCCTTGAGAATAATATGTCCGGCGACGGACGCTCTCGGCTATTGATGAGCTCCCACCTTCAGCAGCACCATAAACACTCTTCTGTGTTGCATCCAGGAAATTCCTACCACCAGATGTACTATTTTGGATGACTTCTTTTGCATCATTCTCCTCCGCATTCTTCAAGCGTTTCCATCTCTGCTCTTCATGCAACTCAGCGGCCAATTGCATCTGCTTCAGTTTAGCAGCTCGCTCTTCTTCTGAAAGTTTAGGTGCAGCATTTCTACGCTTATACTGTGAAGATCTATTAGTGCTAGAATCAAGAAAGCTCCTATTTTCCCTTTCACCGTCCCTGCCCCTTTTAAAGGTGTCACCATTTGACTGACCATCTGAAGCATGCCTTTCTGACTTGGACTTGCTATGATATTGGTCATCAGGTTTTTTATTATAGTCTTTTGTACTTTGCCTTGGACCTTGACTGGGTGACTTCTCTTTGTATTTTCTGTCTTCAGTGTGTTTCCTCTTTCTTCTTCCCTCCCCTTCACTAGAATCATACTCTGAATCTGATTGGGCTTTGTGATGCTGCTTATAACCACGACTCATCTTTCCCTTTCTCCTTTCAGCAGTGTCATCTTCTGGATCAGACTCGTGTCTTGATGATGAATGCTTGTGATGCTTTGAACTGCTATGACGATGCTTCTTCCGTTCCTTCTTATCACGAGATTTCTCTTCAGCTTCTGTTCCTTTAACCTAACATAGTTGCCGCAAATGATTAGGAAGGGCAAAAAAAAGGAAAGTCAATTCCTGAACATGAAAAAGTAATACATTCACAATCTAAAAATTACATCACGTGACCAAAGAATACTGCTCACTGTCCGAAACCACCCTGTCTCTCCAAATGAACTAATGGTTGATATTCAACCATTTATGTGGATCTTGACATGGCCAAAGAGCAGAAGCGCAATGTATAACAGATATTCATATTTGTCTGTCCTATCATAGTCTCTTATGAGGGGTAATACAGAATGTTGACCTGATGACCCAAAAAGAGAATTTCAGAAGCAGCTAGTCATGCAAGTCGCAGATGGAAACAACAAAGATTTGCCTCTGAATTTGCACAAGGAAACAGATTAAAGAGAAACAAAAAGAATGGAACAAAACTTCAAGAACTTTGAGCGCTTCAACCTTCCAGAGTTACCCTATTTTCTGCCTAGCCCACTCTTCTTTCTCATCTCAAGTTTGTTATTCCCTACACTCTTCTCAATTTTCCCTGAACAGCCTCCACATGTCCCTCTCCCCTCCTAGATATTTCCCTAAGCAGTTATCCTTGACACCCTGCACCCCATATTTTTTCTTTGCACAGCTCTCAATAAGTGGGGCAGTCCATTTGAGTTTTTTTTTGTACTATTGTCTATTTTACAAGTTCTACATCAAGGTGACCTCTCAGTTTGGTTCTGTTTTGACAGATATTTCTTTTCCCAAGATTTAGTTTCTCTGAAAGAAGATTCAAGAAAATTAATGATGCTTAGTTTTGCAAATTAAAGTTAAGGGGCATTGGCTACATAATGAAATTTTTCAAGCCTAAAAGCTTAAACCAAAGTTTTAAAGCAAATCAAACAAAAAACATGTGTCTTAATACATTAACCCCACAGGATTACACTTGTCAGTAACACGTGTAATGCATGGCATGTTTAATTCCCCCCCCCCTTAAGTCCGTGTGCTCGTACAAGCATTATTTAATGCACTAAAAAGAAACAGAATGATATTGCTTATCTGAGAGGATTAATACACATAGGGAAAAAAACTAATTCTTCTTTGGTATTTAAACCAACATTCACAGAAAAATAAAAGTTCAACTATGGCATACCTAAAATAAATACACACAGGGGATATGGGAGAAATGTAGTCAGTGAGCACTGATCTACGTGAACCTCTTATTCATAGTGAGGATACAAGACAACAAATAATTAGAAAAAAGTAATCTCACCATACTAATTATTTACAAGCAATCACAACAAATTCTAATTATTTAGGCTAAATCCTAATCAAAACATATCAAAACCAACAAATCATAATCAGCATCATAATCAATGGTTCTCAGCATCAATCGACCAATAGATCTATGTGAAATAGGTAATCATGAGATTTTGATGTCTGACAGTCTAGGTCTATAGCTTTGGTTATCCTCCCCAAGGTAAACTTAAAAACAATCAACGTTCTCAAGCCAAGACAAACCAGGATCTGGCTTGCTTGATTGTGACTGGACTAGGACCTACGAAGGGAACGGTTTGCTGACTATTCTTTTCAACATTTCAAGACAACATTCAACAGGAATACACCAGACAATACTTCAGCTCCTGACAACCACGTGAAGATAAATACTTTCTTACAACAAATCATGTAAATCAGATATATACTTCTTAGTCTAATGTTCTATCAATGTAAGTTGAATAAATAAGCGAGCAAGAGGTCCAACTAGCAGAAATACTAAGCCAACTCCCATTTAATCATCCAGTAACACTGATTGATACGAATGTAATTTATAAATAGCATAACTTTTCAAATCATTACGGTTAAAGTCACTGGCAGATTTTGACCAAAAAATTGACTAAGCTTTCGAGCTTTGACCTGTCAGCAATCCAAAGGTGCTCCCAATCAAGGGGGAAAAACTTAAAGAGACCCTGAAAAGAGAACTTACTGATTTTTTAATCATGGCCATCTTGATGGGGTTGTTTTTTATTCTTGCAAGTGCTTCCTGCTCACGCTGGCGAATCATGAGCAATGGATCAGAATGAAGCTTTCTCCAAGCATCATTGGCTGAGTGGGGCTTGTCCTCAAATAAAGCTCCAGGATTAGTTTGCTGCTGCTGCTGCAGAACCATCAAAGACAAAATTTTTAGAAATCATGCATTCGGGGGAAAAAAATTGATCGTAGAACGACTTCAATTCAATCAAGTACATCAAATACCTTAGATGCAGAAGCTGAGGAAGAAGGTGCATCCGTGGCATCGGGCTTTGGAAAAGCTTCGAGGGCCTTAAATCCTTCAGAATTCCCAGTCCTCCCTACAGATAAACCCGAATCGTATAGAAACTCCAACCTCTCCTGCTTGCTGCAATCAAAATCAGTAAAATGTTTCCTCGATAAGAAAAACAAGTATCTTCGTGCACCAAGGATCAGATACCAAACCCAGAAAAGATTAGAAAAAGAAAATCAAAATGCAACCCCCCAAAAAAAAAAATCAAAACCCTAATCTAAACCCAAGCCAGGCCAGAGAAGAAGAAATCAGGAAAAACGAAATTAAAAGAAAAGAATTACAAAAACTACTACCCATCTAAACCCTAATAAAAAAATGAACCCCAGCCGACAAAGGAAAATCGAAACCAGATCAAATCGAATAAGGAAAAATGACAATGGAAGAAAGAGAATGAGGTTGAAAAGACTTACGGGACCAAGCCAGCCTTCTCTTGAAGAAGACGAAACTCCGTACGCTCCCTCTCCTCTTGAATCTGCTTTCGAAGCTCCTCCAGCTTCTTTTGCTCGGCATCATGCTTTTGCTCCGCCTTCCAGACGTTCTCGATGTTCCTTAGACTCCCCGTATGCCATCCCTTCTTGTTCAGAAACTTAAGCGCCATCTTTGGTTTCTTCTCTCTTCACCGGCTATCCACCTCCAATTGTCGTTGAGGAAGCAAATCACAAATACGAGCTTGGCTTCAGCACAGATATTGCGCAAATAATAGGGGATAATTTACAATTCACTCGCCACCGCGACAGGATAATTAATGCTAAATAGGAACTTTTTTGTTTGGCCAAAACAATGCTAAATACCAAAGTAATTCAAATTCAACCGGTGATTAAATCGGTGAAGACATTGAATTACGAGTTACTGATTCAATTGAGATTGAATTGAAAGTCAAATTGATGATAAATTAATCATAATTAAAATAATATAATTTAATAAAAAAATATTAATTATAAAAATATTCAACTAAATTTAAGATTAATCTCTAATACAAGATGTCAATACAATAATAATTATAGAAATATAACCACTCAAAAGTCTAACAATAATAAAAAAATAACATTAGACAAAAACAATCAAAAATGCTAAGTAATAATAGACAAATTAACAACATCAAATAATGTAAAAATCACTAATTCTGAATTAAAAATGTAGAAAAGGAAGAGGCATGGCAATTAAAAAATTAATGACTAGACAATGAGGAGATTTATTAAGAGAAATAGAAGATAGCAACGTTATGATAAGTTCTGCTTCATGGCAAGTTTTGCTTCACAGCAAGAGAGAGGACAGTCGAGAGCGACATGAGTTATGCATCATGATCACAATAAGTTTTGCACTTTTGTTACATGAAAAGAGAGATAAAATTCAAACTAGAAAAGCTAGGAGCCCAAGCGAGCGATAGCGATGATGGTCAACGATCGATAGGTGGGGTTTAATTTGAGCTAAGGCTAGGGTTGAGTGTTCAAAGCTGGTGGGAGTGGGGTTCGATCGAATGATTTTAGAATTCAAAAACAAAACCAATGCCCTTTTGCTTTTTCAATTTTTTCCTTTTTAAAAAAAACCCCCCAAAACATCATATATTTGGGAATTTTGAAGGGCAAAATAGGAATTTTTGGAGTTTTTGAAGAGCTAAATATGTGACCTAGTTGACTCAGCTAACCTGTCGGGTTATCCAATTTATACCAGGTTGGTCAGGTCATATCGGGTTACTCGTTGACTGGGTCAGGATGGAAATCGGACTGGTGAAAAGGCTGGGTCACCAGTTCACGGGTTGACCCGACCGATCCGATCTGATTTTTCATACAATGCTAAATACTTTATGTCCGTGGTGCTCAAGTGAGAGAAGATTGTGTGTGTGTGTAATCTTATTAAATTTTTATCATAAATTTTTTATTTATTTTTTTAATAAATGTTGAAGACAAAAAATATATTATTAAAATATGTATATTTGATAAGAGAAAAATTAAGAAGTTATTCAATTTTTAAACAGAGTTAATAAGTTTTAAAATTTTTCTTGATTTTTGTAAAACATGTTAAAAGTACATTATAAATAGAACTAAAAAAGTAATAAATTTGGCAATGACAATCAAATTTTTAATTTCTCAAATTTATCTCAATTATTAATTTAAATTTTTAAATTTAATTTTCATCAATTTTATATCTAATATTTTTTAAATTATTAAGTTAGTTCTTTAATTTTTAAAATATAAATTAGCTTTTAAATTAATTTAATATGTAAAGTATATTAATGATTTAATATGCATATATAGTTAAATGAAAAAAAATATAGCCCTATGTTTGTTTTAAACTTTTTGTAATTAGATAATTACACTTTTTTCATTAACTTATAGGGAGAATTTTAACTAAAAACTAAGGAAGATAAATATTTATCAGTGGGTTCCAAAAAAAATTTAAAATTTGCTATAGAATTTTTGGATTAAAGTGAAATAAAATGGATGGCTGAAAAGACCAAAATGTCCTTCTATAAAAGAAAGGAAAAATGATTAACAATTGATATTGATAAATTAATAAGTAAAGTTAGAGATTAATAACTAATGATTCTGTATTTAAGACAAAATAATTGAACTAATATGATTATTGACAAGTAAAATTAGGTAATTTATAACTGATATTAATAAACTAACAAGTGAAGTAAAAGAAATTAACAACTAATGATGGTTCTTTTCAGTCAAATTGAGTGAACTAGTCTTATAAAAGATTCATAAGTGAAGCATTTAACAAGTCATGTTAAAATAAGGTTATGAAATTAACAAATAATGTTCTTAAGATTATGGACTCACAGTCTCGCAGCATTAACTAATTAACTATTTAATAAATACTTTTAAAGAATTAACAAATACAAGTAAGCAATCAACGAGTAAAGTTAGGTGGTAACTAAGTACTTGTTAATTTTGTCAAAGGGCATTTTAGTCTTTTAGCCACCCATTTTATTTTAGTTTAATACAAAAATCTTGCAAAGAATTTTCAAATTTTTTTAGACCCACTGGTAAATATTTTTCTTCCCTGATCCTTAATTGAAATTCTTCCTAATTTATATGACAATTGTCAATATTCCATCATTTATATCAAAGTTTTAACAATATTATCTTCTTTTCAAACAATATGAACTAAATCCATAACCTATCCATAATTAAATGATCAAATTGATAAGAATTATACTTTTATTATTTTGTGTGGGCTCATAATTTTTTGGAGAAAGTGCTTAAAAATCCCTCATGGGGATATTAATTGCCCATAGATGTTGGAAATTTGTTTAAAAATTTAGGTTCTTTACACTATATTTGGTTGGTGGGGAGGGAAGTGATTTTAATGGAGAGAAAGGAAGGTGAAGGGAGGGGGAGAAGGAGGTAGAGGCCTGATACAGGTCTCCTGTTTAAACATATTTTTATAAGAATTTGGCATTAAAAAATGGCATTTTAAGAAAATTAAGATTTGAAACCTGGCCTTAATAGGCTTTAAGAAAATGAGTTCAAGCTCAAGTAGCTCATTTTTGTTTTACCTTTAAAAAATAAAATATTTTTAATTTTTAAATTAATTTAAAATATATGTTTATGCTTTTAAAATTAGAATTTATATTATTTATTTTTAATTTTTTAATATTATAATTTATATTTTAAAAAATATAAAATATTATAATTGAAAATTTTTAATTTTAAAAAATTAAAAAATAATAAAATGGTTTTTTGGGCCTAACCTCAAGTCCTTTGAATAAGAATTGAGCTTTAAGAAATGAAAAATTTTAGACAAACTAAGCTTAAGAGCATAAATCTATAATGGCCAAGCTTATAAGGATTGAAACAATGTGAGTCGGGACAACCCGTTTGCCATTGGAGATAGGAGGGAGAGGGAGGAATCCCTCCCAATCCCCCAGATTTGGAAGGAAATGTTTGGAGGGGAATCCATTATAATTAAGGTACTAAAAAGCAAACTGATCATTAAATTATAATTAAATTAGGAGTCAAATTGATCATAATTAAAATAATGTAATATATTTAAATTATCTATATACTTTTTTCATTAAAAATGTAAGTATTTTTAATCAAATCTCATCCAAATAAAATAGTTATTTGTCTTCAAACTAATATCATTTTTTCATATTTACCTATATTTAATACATTATTTCACTTTAAAATAAATATAAAGTGATTTATCATTAGGGGCACTTTTAAAAAAAAGTACAATAATTATATCTTAAAATACTAAAAATATTTTATATTTGTTAATATTTAATTCTTTAAAAAATACTTCCATTCAAATAATAATAATACGTATAAGTTTATATTTAAAAGACTATAATATATGATAAATACTATAATATAATGTTTGTCCAATCTTATGTATGTTATGGGACCTGACTACTCAAGTCTTTGCGTGGGGAAGTAGGAATAGTTAATGTGTGGAACGATAGAAAAGATTTTTTTTTTTTTTGGGATAAAAGGGTAAAAATACTCACAAAATGGTCAACTAGGGACACTCAGTATTTTAAATAAGGAAAAAGATAAAAATATCCATAACGTTATATAAGTGGGTGCAAAAGTGATTAAACTGTTAACTTTGACCTAACGCTGTTAACTTTAATTTTTAAATATTGACTGTGCATACCACGTGTCAGTCTTTGCTGACGTGAACTAATAAAGGAGCAAAAATACCCACGAAGTCATTAACCAGGAGCAAAAATACCCATAATATTATCAAAATTGGTGCAAAAATAACTAATCCATCAAATCCCTTAAACGTTGACTATTTAGCTCATACCAAAGTAAAAGTTGACAATTTTTTTGCTGACACAGACAAAAAATATTCCCAAATAAAATTTTTTGGAGATTAATTAGTCATTATATGAATATCATATGAGAAAATATCGTTTTGACAGAATATCAAATTAAATCGCTTTTTTATTTTCAGTAGTGGCAAAAACCATTTGAAAATTTTGAACCTATCATAAATAAAATTGCTTAAAGTTATAACAATATTCTCAAGGTAGCATGACGTAGAAGGTGTGCTCAATCTTGATCTTTGAATGTGTACAACCTATCTCACTATGTTGAATATAAGGTTTTGCAGACAAAAAAATGAGTGAAAATAGAGGAAGGAAGGGGGCGAGATATGTAGCAATGGAAAGAAATCATATGGTATGGATTTTGACGGATTGGTTACTAATTATGAGTACTCATATGATAATCGATCAACATCCATAAAAATTCATCTAAGAATATTTTTGATCTATATCAGCAAAAAAATAGTCAACTTTTATTTAGATGTCAACCAAACAGTCAACGTTTAAGAGATTTGATGGATTGATTACTTTTGCACCAACTCTGATAACATTATAGGTATATTTACTCCTGGCCAACGACTTCGTGGATATTTTTGTCTCTTTATTAGTCCATATCAGCAAAGGTTGACACGTAAAATGCACAGTCAATATTTAACAATCAAAGTTAACGGCGTTTGGTCAAAGTTAACGATTTCATCACTTTTGTACCCACTCATATAACACTATGAGTTTTTTTCCTGTTTCCTCACTTTAAAATATTGGGTGCCCTTAGCTGACCACTCTCTTTTTTTTTTTGAAAAATTACTAAATCTCACTGAAGCATTGAAAATATTCTGAAGTTTCATGAAATCATTAAATATCTATCAGGTCCCATGGGACTTGGAGGTCAATAAATTTGAGAATAAAATTACCAAAATACTCATGAAATATCAGAAAATCTATTCCGATCCACTAACCCACTCCGACACAATTATGTTAGCTTGAATCTCTAATATCCATTATTTGTCTCTCAACATAAAATCTTCTCTCCCCTGATACGCTATTATTAAAATGCCTAACATTCGTAAGTGTGAATCTCACCTTTTGGATTTTTTGATATTTTTATTATAAAATATTACTAGTAGGCCCCACTTCTGCCACGATTTGAGACATCCGCCAGAATTACACAACACCCTCGAGGATATCTTCCAGCTTCCTCATACACAAGAGTCACTCCGCTGCCAGCCCCACTAGGTTGAGAATCTTCTACTAGGTTGAGAATATTACACAATCCTCTATTCTGGCTTCTAAAGAAGAGCAGTCGGTTGCTTAGGTAGCTGTAAGGAAGAGAGACGACTCTATGGTGATTCTATACGTGAAGACCAAGAAAAGGATGGCCCGAGAGATAGAGAAGCTAGTGTTTGAAATCCAATACATGAGCCATAATTATGGAGAGATGCCAACAACGTTGGGGTCAGTTGGAGATACTGAGGTGGCAGGGGTCATCGTGGATGTTATCCTCGTGATGATGAGACTATTGAGGAAAGGCGGGAGTGATAGAAGCAAGCAAGAAGGCATCAAAGAAATGCAGGTGGAAAGCTTGTATGATTTGAGGAAAAGGGGCGATGAAGAGGTCATATCAGCTTTGAAGTGAATTAGGGATTTGGAAAGTTCCTTGAGCCTTATCGAAACTGTTAGTAATAGGGGTCTTTGGGGCATTGATCAATTCTTAAGTTGCTTTGCTAATGTCACCCCTGAAAAATGCGACGCGAACAGTGCGCAAGTAAAGGTTCTGACTTTCGAGGTGAGAACCAATTGGAATGGGAGTCGCCACCAAAATTTTGAAAGAAATTTTGGAAAACCATTTAAAGGAGAATAAGAATGATTCGAGAAAATAGAAAATAGGTTCAGGAGTGTGAGAAAGGTGTTAGACACCCTACAACACCCGTTCGTGAGAATGGTTACCTGAAGTTTGTTGTGCTATATTAATATGGTTTTAAAATTATTTTAATTATCTCTTTTATATTCATATGTTTGATATAAAAATGATAAGAATTAAATGAAAAATATTTATTTCTTTACGAGGGAGGACTTAACTCAGAATCTAACTTTGAGGCCTACGTATCTTGTAATGGGGATCAAAGTTCATATAGTTTGAGTTTCAAAGTTGTTAGTGAAAATATTTTTTGAAGAGAAATTAATTAGAAATAATTCACCATTTTGCAAATAAAATAATTTCTAAAATTTTGATATGTGTGTTTTAAATTACAAAAAGTAATTTAATTTCAATTAGTTTCTCAATTTTTAATTTTTGGAATAAAGAAAGAAAAGAGTTTAAAATTATTTTTTTATGTTTTATAATTGAGAATTTAACTGCTATACCTTCAGAGCCTTATTGGCTCATACGATAATGCAATTGTTCTAAATATCTGTGGAGATTTCAAAATCTCACGCAATAAAAGAGTTTAACAACTTAATTTATTTATATTTTTGAGTGTTAGTAATAATTTGTTTAAGCATGTATATATATATTTTTAAAGAGTTTTAATTGTTATATCTGCAAAGCTTTATTAGCTTATACGATAATATGATTATCTTAAATATCTGTGGAGATTTCAAAATCTTACACGATAAAGGAATTAAATTTATTTAAATACATCTTTAGTTTAATTAATTTAATATATAATTTTTAATATATATATATATATATATTTTAAAAACTTAATTGTTACATCTACAGAGTCTTATTGACTCATACGATAATATAATTATCTTAAAAGTTTACAGAGATTTAAAAATCTCACATGACTAAAAGATATTTGTGAGGACTTATTATCCCATGCAATGATATGATTAATTTAAGTCTCTATGAAGATTTTTGAAATCTTACATGGGACTTAAATAAATTATAATTTGAATTATAAAAAGAGAGTTAATTTTAATGATAGGCCTTTGAAACTCATCTTAACATATAAGTTTTACCCTCATATCTGTGAAGCCTTATTGGTTTACACAATATGAGATTATCCTAAATATCTATAGAGATTCAAAGTCTCACACAATAAAAGGATTAAATAATATTCACTTTAAATATATTTTAATGTGTAATTATACACCGTATATTTTTAAATATAGAAATCTTGATCGGTATACCTACGAAGCTTTATTAACTCATATGGTAGTATGATTATTTTAAAAGTTTACAGGAGTTTCAAAAATCTCACATGATCAAAAGATCCAATTAGAAAATGTGATTATAATTCAAATTTATTAATTTAATTAATTAAAATTATAAAAACGTTTATTATTTTATTTACAAAATTTATTTATTTATTTACCATATAAATTGCGAATCATGATATCTGTGAAGATTTATTATCCTACACGATAATGCAATTAATTTAATTTTTTACAAAGATTCTTAAAGTCTCACATGAAACTTGAATATTTATTATAAAAAGAAAAATAATTTTAATAATGGGCCTTTGAAAACCATATAAATACCTACAAGATTGATCCTCATACCTGTGAAATCTTATTGATTTACATGATATGAAATCATTCTAAATGCCTATGAAGATTTTTAAAATCTCACACGATAAATAGATAATTAAAATATTTGCATTTACAGTTGGTGCATAATATTATGGTTGGCTAAATAATTCATGTAATAAAGGCAATGAAAAGAATAGAGAAATAAACTATTTTAACAATTCACTATTCTGTTAACTTGAGGATATATTTTACAAAAAAAAATATAGATTTGGCATAAATTTTTAACAAAATCATAATCACGATAGATACGGCTTCAAACTACAATCACCCCACAAATTATCAACAATATTTTCACAGGCTCTCTATTTTTTTTTGTCAAACACCTCTCAGATATGTTTTAAATTCTACATAAAAATATTTGATTCTTAAATTTTTTAATGTCTAAACATACATCTAGATCAGTCCACACTCTTAATATCTATATATATATATATATATATATATCATCAATAAATTCAGATTAAGGAAGATGATATAATTTGAATATTACTTGACCAACTTATAATTTCAAGTATGCATTCTTCTTCCTCTCAAACAACGTTTTCATTACCTCAACCTCAAATTTTGAACATGTTTCTGGTTTTGAAGAGAGGAGCAAAGGAAGAAGAGAACAGCTATTGCCAATGGTACGAGAGATTGTATGAGGGAAGATCTTTCATCCTGTGAAGATCTTCCAAGCACAACTCTTTCTCCAACTACACCTTTGTTGCTTATAAAACATCCCGAACTCGTGTGACTAAGGGAAGAAGAAAATGAAGATCTCGTTCAATCCAAAAACCCACGTGTACATGCATGCTACTGTTTATGCGTTTTCTTCTTCTCGCTCTCTCGGTTCCAGTCTCTATTCAGTCTTCCTCCAACTTCTGCTTCGTCTCCTCCTCGTCCATTCTCATCTTTTCATGTGTGTGCTCTGTTTTTCGTGCTCTCCTTCCTCTGAGTTTTTTGGTCTCTTTCATGCTCTGCTTTCTTCTCCTTTTCTCTATTTCTGCTCTCCAGTTTTTCTGCTCTCTTTCGTCCTCAGTTTTCTTCTCCTTTTCTCTGTTTTGGCTCTCCATTTTTTTGCTCTCTTTCGTCCTCGCTTGAATGCTGTCCATGCTCTGTTTTTCTTTATTTTTCTCTCTCGTTCTCCGTCTTCTTCTCTCGCTCTTCTCTTGTCAGTTCCTTTGTGCTTTGTTTTTTCTTTTTTCGTGCTCTCTCACTCTCCCCTTGAAGTACCAGAAGAGCTGCCTTTTTGATGAAGCTCAGGATTGCCATGCACGTCTCCTCCTTCCTTTCTTCCACTCGCGCGTGTCTCTGCTCTTCTTGCTTTTTTCTGCCTTCTGTGTTTTCGTCTCTAGGTTCCTCTTTTTCTTTCAGAGATCTCTGGTTCACTGTCTTCGTACACCAGTCTTCCTCTTTTGCGTTTCTTCTTTGTTTTTTGTGTGTGCTTGCTACTCTGTTCTCTTTTTTCTGCTGCGCACACGTCTGATCTCCTTCTGCGTTTCTTCTGTCCAGGTGGGTGCGTGTCTGCTCTTTCTGTGTGTTTTTTTTGCTAGCGTGTATGGTTCTTCTGTGTTTCTTCTCTCTTAAACTTTGCTGTTTGCATGCATTTCTGCTCTCTTTCACTTCTTTCTCCGTACATGCATGTCCTGCGTTGTTTTCAGCCATTCTTTTTCATGCTTTTTTTTAAATTAATTAGATTGAGGGAGAGAAAAAAATCTATATATATATATATATATATATAAATGGAAAATAAAAAGATTTTAGGAGAGAAATTTAAAAATAGTTGAGTCTCAAAAAATTGATTCTCAATATTTTTGAATGGTTGGGATAATTTGGGAGAGATTTAAAAAAAATTTAAGCAAGATTTTTTGATTTTGTTAAATTATTATTATTTTTGAAAATATAATCCTAAAAAAAGATTAAATTTTACTTTTATATTTTTATATTTTTTTGTTTTTTTGAACTAAAAGAAATAAAATCTTAATTAACGAAAGATTATCTATAATAAAATTAAATTAAACCCTATTAATTATTTTTTTTGAAAATATAATTATAAAAAGAATTAAATTTTATTTTTTTATTTTTATATATTTTTAATTATTTATTATTATTTTTATTAAATTTAAAAAAGATTCGAATAAAATACAGTGTTTACAGTTGAATACTCACACACAACAGGGAGCTACATTATGATTTTAAGCTAGAGAAAGGGGGAAAGAAAGCATTTTGAAACCAACATGTATCTCTATGCATATACCATCTCATCTGATATATGCACTGCTCCTTTCACTTCATTGATCATATATATGAAAGAAGAAAGAGCAGAGGTGATGGAGTTGCAAAGAGAGGGAAAGACGGAACCGGTTTCGGTGCACCATGGTGCTCAGCACCAAAACACTGCCGTTTGGCAGTTTTTTTTTTTGCTTTTTTAAATCACAAATTTATTATAATAATAATAAATAAATATTATAAAATTATTATTTTAATATTTAATAAACAAATAAATATTAAGATGTCAAAATTAAATATGAACAGATTAACTCATTAAAATTTAACTTAAATAGTTTATATATAAATTTTGATCTAAACAGTTTAAAATTGTATTGAAAAAATTAAAATTGTAAATATAAATTTTTTTTATTTCATTAATTTTGCACAGTTGTTTATCTATGAGAGATGATATCATTTAAGGCATAATCAGGTATTAAATATAGGTACTTTTTTTAATAGAAATTCAAACATTGATTTACTACAGTGTAAGAAACTGGCTCATTTTGCCAGACTCGACTCCTATTTTAAATTGTTCAGATCATTTTTAATTTTTTTAGTACAGTTCTTAATGTTCAAACCAAAATTTTTATTTAAACTATTTAGGTTCAAATTTAACATTTTAATATTTATTAGTTTATTAAATATTAAAATAATAATTTTATAATAATTATTTATTATTATAATAAATTTGTGGTTTAAAAAAAAAACACTGCCAAACGGCAGTGTTTTGGTGCTGAGCACCACATGAGCACCGAAACCGAGTCAGGAAAGACGGGAGAGAAGGATAGGAGAGAGGATAAAAAAGATTAAAAAGGTAATGTGGGACCTCTAATAATATTTTATAATTAAAAACATTAAAAATTTAAAAGGTTAAACCCATACTAGCAAATGTTAGGCATTTTAACATCGTGATAGTTGAAAATAAAAAATTACTCCAAGTTAAGTTTAGAATTATTAATAATTTTTGTGTAAAGTTGAGGGACAACAATAATTGTTAATCCTTCAAACTAAAAGGACGTGTCACAGTTCTTTTACAAGTTTGCCAAATGATGTCACTATTATTTAGCCATAAAGATGAAAAAGTCAAGAGACCAAAAAAAAATAAAATTAGACTGCTACTTCACGCAACTTCAAAAGGCAAATGGAAATGAAACCTATGAATTAAGTTGTGAAATATGCATGAAGTAATTATTTAGGCCCCTTTTCTCTCTTCAATCCCTCATGCATCCTCATCCATCACCTCTCTCCCAAGGCTCTCAATCCCTCCTTCTTAACTCTTGCCATCGCCCATGCAGATTTCTCACAGGTCCGAGCCTCAGGATCTTCCTTACAGGGCCCGTTTGTTTATTGTTTTTAAAATTTATTTTTCTATTTTAATATTTTTAAAACAAAAAAAGTTGCTTGGATAATGGTTTTATAATTTTTGTTTTAAAAACTGTTTTTAGTTTTTTGTTTTTAAATACAAAAAAACCAAAACAAGTTTCGGCTGTTTCTATTCCCGATTTTTTAATCTGACCGAGCAACTCATCTCATTTTAGTTTCTTTTTCTTCGAGTTTGCTTCTGGTGTAGAGGGTTCATCCTCTCGTCGGCATCGCTGACTCTCTTCTCGCCAGCGTCGCTGCCTCCCTTCTCGCCGGCGTCGCCTTGGACAGTTCTCTCTCCTTTCAGCAAGTTTGTTACTAGCTAAATTTCCGAAAGAGGCGTAAGTTTCCTTCTCATCCATCGCTTTTCATCTTCACTTTTCTTCATCACATTTCATCTTCACTTTTAGGTTATTGCGGATGCTCAAATTTTTCTTCTCAATTACTTTACCTATTACTTTAATTTGTTAGATCTTATATTTAAACTTCATCGCTTTTCATCTTTAATTGATGCACATAGATCTAGCATTTCAATTGTTATAATTTTGTTCTTGTTCTGCTGTTTGTGTTGCTGATTCAGCTAATTATTATATTATTTCTTTTGAGTTACACTAACGCAGAGGTAGATTTTGCTAAATTTACTTTTCATGTTGTTATTATTATGTAGTTCCTTCTGGTTCTGGTGTTATTGTAATTTTGTTTAGTTTCAAACTCATTCTTTTGATTTAAAGGAAGGTAGTGATAGTAGGGAAGTAGATTTAAAGGATTGAAAATTGGTATGAACTCAAACATAAGCACAGAAACTTCTCGGTGGTGCTTGCTGGAGTTAAACTTCTCCATTTTCTTTGAATTTAAGTTGAGTTAGTCTACTTATTGTAATATTCACTTATGATAGATGAAAACTAATGTTGACTCAAAGATGTGGACTGACCCAATAGTTAAAGCTTTGATAGACATTTTAGTTGAAGAAGTCCAAAAAGGAAATATGCCAAATGGTGTGTTTCACTCTAGAACATGGACTTCCATGACTGCAAGGTTGAATTCTGTAACCAGTCGTTCATTCAATGTTAAGCAACTAAAACAAAAGGTGAATCGATTGCGGAGTATGCATCGTGAGTTCACTTTATTACTGAAACACACTGGATTTGGGTGGAGCGCAGAAACAAACACTGTTACTGCAAGTGAAGAAGTTTGGCAAAACTATCTTCAGGTATGTGTTCATTTAGTATTTGTCCTATCAAGGGTCTTATATTCTTATCAGAATATGTATTTTTTGGGTCCATTAAATAACTATATTTGCTGAATGTACATGATTATTTTCTTTTTGGTCCATTAAATAACTGATGGCTTTTACTAGTGATTTGCTCAAAACTCCTAGTAAATTGCAGTGATCTTGACTTATGATTTTGGAATCGCTTTAGTAAGGGTTCTTAAACCTACCACTAAGCTTTTTTCTTTATTTGTTAGTGAACTATTTTTGTTGCAGAGGAGGTTGCTATGTATAGGAGGTTATATCTATGGCTGTTCTGTCATACATATTCCCATTTACATGTCTTTGTTTTTGCTTATTCTCCTAGCCACGTCTGTGTTGGACGTTGGATTCTTGCATTGCTCCTCAAAGGGCGTAAATTGTATAAAAAAATAATTTGATTCATTCAATCATTTTTAAGTAATTCAAATACAACACATGAAGATAGAGCTATTGTTTCTATTTGTTAACAATGAGATTTCTATGGTGGAACCCCTATCTCACAATTGAGAATTAGGAAAATGATGCTATGAATGTGTGTGTGAATGTATCTGTTGCTTGTCAGGTAGTTGGTCTATGAATCCAAAGAATAAGTTTAGTGTGTGTGTCACTATTCTTACAATTAATAGACAGTGAAACTGAGAATATATCTATATATATGCACTTGTCATTTCAGAATATTTCAATGCATTATTTTTTTAACATTTCATTTTGTTCCTTCTTTTAGAGAAAAGAATGTGAGGCTGGAGGCTTTTTTATTCTTCCTTTGCCTATTCTTATTCTGGACAAGAGGAGAAAATTCATGTGTGTGCACGTATCCGTTTACCCCTCTTTATTTTCTATATATTTTCATATGAAATAAATTCCGTGTGATTTTGGGTTCTCTTATTGCTATTAGTACATTTTCTTATTGCTATTTCGTGTGATATCATTGCACTCATTAGCACATCACACTTATGAACACGTGGGTGATGAGCACAAAGATGGACTGGCCCCCCATTTGGGTGGGGAGTCACAATCTGTTGGGGTCCATTTGCTTTTTTTGACTCCCAGGCATCCAAATCTAATGGCATTTTGATAAAAACTCTAAAGTATTGCATTTATAATATAGTTTTTAACATTTTTTTAAAAAAATATCACAAATCATATTATGTTTATGTGAACTAAAAATGAAGCAGACAGTTGGAATGGTCCACTTTTTAGATTTTTTTCTATTTTTAGTTTGTTTGGCCTTTTTTATATGTAGTTCAGATGTTGATTTTCTAAAAACCATTATGGGTTCTGGTTTAATAATGATTCAAATCTAATCTAATCTGGGTTGACTGTAAAAATGATTTCCTGGTCAAAATTTAGCCATTAGTTAGTCTAATCGAGAATCCAACTAGCCCAATCACCATCTGATTTGGATTTGATCTTCAAAGCCATGGTTTTAAGTCTAATTTTTATGTTGTGAAGGCGTATTGACATGACCTGGGATCCCCATTTCCTGGGCCACGACTTTGGTGGCCGGATCACTGATGATACCTGCTGTTCTTATCATCTTTGGCTGCATATTTTATCTTTACATTTCTGTTTTAACATCTTTGGCTAATCGAAAATATAACTCGCATAATTCCTCTCACATTTTACATTTCTGTTTTAACATCTTTGGCTGATCTCCCTCATTACTTGTTATCAATAAAATAATTACTGATTCTTTCCTTGATCTTTAGGCACAAGAAAAGGCTGCTTAGTTTTGAAAGAAAGGATGTGACCACTATAAGCTGTTGGGAATCATATTCAACAGAAGTACTGCAACTGGAGTACTCCATCACTCTTCTACCCAAGACCCACTAAATAGTGATGAAGAAAATGAACTGGAAAATCAATATCTTAACAGTGGGGTTCATAGAGATGATAAGGATAGTTCAGATGATGACATTCAAGAGGTGGAGCATATCACACAAAGTGGAAAATGCATAATTCAAACAAAAGAGCGCAAGTCTAAGAAAGAGTCCAGAAAATATCAAATGCAAAAGCACTTGCAGTATGGGTTGAAGCTTCTAAGGCAAGAGCAGGGTGGTAAGAGTGTGGAGGCTAATTCTGAATATACTGCAGCTAAATGTGTCATTGCTCTTGAGGAGATTGAAGGCATTCGAGCTGACATATTTGTTAAAGCTTTGGAAAAATTTAGGGAATATGATTGGAGGGAAATGTTTCTTACCATGTCTGTTGATGGGAAAAGGAAATGGTTAGATATGCTTTAAAAACATAGTTGTTGATCAATTAGGAAGGAATCTCTAGTAACATAGTACCATAGGCTATAGTCATGTGGATTATGTGTTACCTATGCAAGTATTGTCATTTTCTCTTCTTTTTTTCCCCTTTCAACGTTAGGTTCAGAACTTGCAAGCCTATATGTTTACACACACATGCCCCTTTTATATGAAAAACTAGCCATGCAATGCTCAATTAGTTGGTGTTTAGGAATGATCATTTGCAATTGAATAGTGTTATATGTGTTTGTAAAGTTGATTTTGTTCTTTTTGAAATTGTATGACAGGTTAGAAATAGAATGGATGTTGATAAAATGTCAAAGGAAAATGATAAATATGCTTCTGAATCAAGTGATGATGACTTGCCTGAGTTATTCATAATTGATATGATTTATGATTATGACAAGGACTTTTTAAATAAAACAAAGGTTCAAACATCTACATTTTCTGGTCATGACTTTGTTGCTGAGGTATTAAATGGATCTAAAACAACTTGCTTTGACTTGTTTTGAATGGAGAAGACATGTTTTGTTAACTTTTGTAATGAATTGAGGGGGAAGAGCTTCTTAACAGACTCAAGAGGTGTGCTTATAGAGGAAAAAGTTGCAATGTTTTTATTCATAATTGGTCATAATGTTCGTCATAGAGTTATTGCAAATTGTTTCCAACATTCAACAGAAACAATTTCTCGTTGCTTCAAAGAAGTGTTAAGAGCAGTATGTCAACTAGGAAAAGAGTTGATAAAACAAGAATCCTTGGAATTGCCCGACAAAATTAAAACCAATGCAAAATACTTTCCTTGGTTTAAGGTATGGAATTTTTCATTTACAATATCATTTATATGTTAGAAGTAATGTATTTTTTTTTGTTTGTTTGGGTTTTGTTATAGAATTGTTTGGGTGCAATTGATGGCACACATATTAGTGCATGTGTCCCTGCTAATAAGCAAATTTCATGTCGAGGTAGAAAGTCAACAGTTACGCAAAATGTCATGTGTGCTTGTGATTTCAATATTGTGTTTACATATGTGTATTCGGGATGGGAAGGAAGTGCACATGATGCAAAAGTTTTTATGGATGCACTTACCAATCCAAATGCACATTTTCCTTGGCCATCTAGAGGTGAGCACTAGTATTATAATTTTGTTTTGCTTTGAATAAATATTTAAATTTTAATTTAACATATTTTATATTGACCTAGGTTTTTTCTATCTTGTTGATTCTGGCTATCCATGCATTGGAGGTTTTCTTCCCCCTTATAAGAGTGAAAGGTATCATACGCAAGAATATAGAGGCGAAGCTAGACAGCCCAAAAGTCGGGAGGAATTATTTAATTATAGGCACTCATCTTTGAGAATGACAATTGAGCGTTGCTTTGGAGTTCTAAAAAATAGATTTCCTATTTTGAAGTTGATGCCTCTATATAAACCTACTAGGCAGCGATTAATAATTATTGCATGTTGTACAATTCACAATTATATACGCAAATGGAATTTGCGTGATGAATTATTTAGGATTTGGGAAGAAAAGGATATAGAGATAGATGTTATGAATGAAGCTCCTCATGAGATAGGGGGAACGAGCTTAAATGATGATATCTTGTTGAGATTATCTGATCAAGGTGCAGCAGATATGGCAATGTATAGAGATCATCTTGCAAATAGGATGTGGGCACAACATAACTAATGGATTAGTTGAACTGATTTGGCAATATTGGACATCTTGTTATGATAAACAAGATTGAAGTAATGGTTTTTAAAATATTATTCCATTTATCTCATCAACTTTTTATTATCTTATGTCATGTATATTACTTTTATTTTTTATTTGTCTTTGGAGTAAATGTCGGTTTCAAATTGAATTTAATTCATGAATTCTATTTTTTCTTTTTAGTATATTTAGCTGTTTTGATTTATCACCCACAAGCAAATTATGAAATTATATCATCAATAAAATATGTTAGTAATAATATATAATAAAATTTATATTCTTATAAATATTACTCATTTTGTAAACTGTAGGGAGCTTCCAAAAAAAATTATACTTTATTGGCAGCAACATATAAATTAGTTTTGTTAGGCAAAATAACAACCAACACAATTTCTATCAAGCGAGTTTTGTTGTGTTTTAATTTTCAAAACTTATTTTTAGTATTAATTTTGCCAAGCAAGTTTTTTTGTTTTTTAAATTCTAAAACTGTTTTTGAATTACTATTACCAAACAAGTTTTTTTTTAGCTTGTTCTCAAAAACAGTTTTTAAAATTGTTTTATAAAATAATTTTTAAAAACAAAAAATGAAAACAATAACCAAACAAGCTCAAAGAGTCGTACTTTTTTTACCTTAGAGACTGCAAATACCTTACAAACTTGAGAATAAACAGGGCCATACCATTAATGGCGCCCCAAGATACAAAATAGGAGAAGATTGATGGGAAAGAACGATGCTGATGAATGGGGCAAGAATAATCCAGGTAATTCCTGAGATAGTTGAGCAGATGGGATAGAAGACTGTTGAGCTTTCCATCATTGGAGATTAAGGCTGATATAATCGTGCCGGAGTGGGTTAGTGGAAAAGATTTTTTAATGTTTCATGGGTATTTTGGTAATTTTATCTTCAAATTTATCTGCCTCAAATCCCATGATACCTGATAGATATTTAATGATTTCGTGAGATTTCTACGGATTTTCAACGCTTATGTTGGACTTCACAATCATTTTCCACTAATATTGAATAGCTCTTTAAACCCCCCCCCCTCCCAAAAATATCTATTTCGACTCACATACATACTGCGTAGAAATATGAGGGATGGCACTTTTAAAAATAAATAGGCGATTCTGATGATATCTATCAAGTTCTTTGCATAACCGTTATGATACATGACCGATGCGGGTAATATATTTTAATTTTATTAAAAATTTAAATTTTTAACATATCTACATTGATTATTACATATAATCAATGTAGTTATATATTTTAATTTTTTTTTAAAATTATTTTTAATATATCTACACTTGATATTAAGTATAACGGGTGTAATTATATAACATATCTATACCTGTTATGACTTATAACCGGTGGGTGTAGATATATTCAAAAACACTTATTCTATCAATTCATCAGTCATCACCATTTAAACTCAATTGCAGAAACAGCTACCTACAATTAGTCATCACCACTCGAAATATTTCATCGCTTATCGAAATCAGTTCTTCATCTTGTTTTGTGCTCGTGCCCTACCCCAAAATTAGTTCTCGTTTTCGTGTTCTTCATCTTTGATCTCCCTCCGCTCTTCCTTTTCTTCATCTTCTCCCAAAATCCTTTCTCTGCCCTGAAACGAAGTGCCCTAAGCTCATGCCTGTGTGGTTATTGTGCTCCAGCTACTGCCCCAAGTATTTTCTTTTTTAATTTTTGCTTTTCTTAATCCTCTAATGAAGGCCAGGATTTTATATATGATGATAATATCCTTTCATCTCAGTGAAGAAAGTGAGCGTTGCTATGAAGTTATTGTTTTAGCTTCTTAGAGGGCCAATTTTTGGTGATATCCGAAACAGTGCTGCAGCTATAAATCTTAACAATCAAAATGAGAGGCTGGAAAATTTGTAAGAAATATCTGAAAGATGGATTCTCTAAAGTCATCTGTTTTAGCTGCAACGATGAACTAATTGATATATGGATCGTAAGTGTTGAACTTTTATGTAAAAGTGAATATAGACAAACAGGGATAATGCTTTGTTTAATCCCTTGAGCTTAATTGTAAAGCTAAGCTATGGCCAATTTCTTTCATTTGAAAAAAAAAAATGCTGTGGTGAATTTTCAAACAATTTTATGACGTATTGTAAATTAATATAAAATAAAGTTTCTTAGTGAACTATGATCCCTCTGATTTCATAAAACATTTTGTAGTGCATTTGTATTGGTGAGCTAATTAATTTTTGGCAATATATTTTGTTCTACTTAATATTAACATTTCATCTATGAGACTTGAGAATGGATTTTTTTTTACTAATTCATTTAGTTTGTCTTAGAGTGAATCACTTGCCTTAGGTTAGGAATTGTTGTTGGCTGAATTAATGTGATTAGATGACTAGTTTGTTGTGACTTTTAAATTGCATTATCGTGCTTTCATTATTGGTTTATTTTTTGTAATATGATGGAGTGCTAGTAGAGGTTTAATACCCTAAAATTTTTTAAAACAATTAACTCAATTATGATAAAAAATATCTACCATGGTAAATAAAAGTTAACTAATCTTATATATTGAAACAATTCTTTAGCTTAAAACACTACCATGGTAGTAAATAATAAAACATTATTTTATAAAATATGCCACATTTTAAAATAACTACCATGATAAAAAAGATCAAAATAAATAAATAAGTATTACTCCCTTTGTCCCAAATTATAAGATACTTTTAGGGAAGATTCAATGCCCCAAAATATAAGATACTTTGATAAAAATAAATTTTTATTAATGATATTTTTTTAATATTACCTTTCCCATATATTCTCTCTTTTCAATATTCTTTTATCAATGGAATATTAAATGAAGGGTATTTTTGAAATCTTATATTTTTGTCTGAAAAAAGTAAGGTAATAAAGTGAATTTAATGAGTTTTATTGATATATGAGATTTTGTTTAAAGGTGTCTTATAATTTGAAATAGAGGGAATATTATAGTAAGTAGAATTTAGACTTCTTAAAATGTCATTTCTAAAATTTGCGATCCCAAACAATTAAAAACAAAATATGTGTGAAAGGCCTAAAAGATCCCTTTAAAATTGAGAATATGATAAACCTAATAGAATATGGAAAATAAAAATAGTTATGCATTTTAAAATCTTATTACCACCTATTAACTTTGTCAAATAACAGAAAATGATTTTCAATATGGCTTATACACATCTACTATCATAGTTGGGTTAAAGCTACCTAACATATTTTATATCAATAAATCCAATATAAAAGTATCTAATAATTGGCTTAAGTTTGCACAATATAACACCTTAAATAAATTTTAATCTCCCACATGTCATTAAGCCAAAATCACATTTTCCTAAATTTATACTCCCAACAACTACAAACCATAAACTGACACCCAAAATAGATAGATCAATCAATTTTCAAAACAAGCTAATTATATGGCCCCATAATCATGTCACTTCAAACCATTCAAAATAAACCAAATATTAAGGTTACAATCATCCAAAGTGTACTAAAAGCAAAATTTTTTTTGAAAAACA